TCGGCTACACGGTGGAGAACAAGGATGGCAATCGTGTAGTCTACATGACCCACACAATTTGCCGTAAGTGTTTTAATAAGCTTCCTCAATTGACCGGCAACACGTCCAACATGCAGATGCATATCCTACGGCACCATCCCGAAATCAATTTAGTTGGAGCACAGAAAACAAGTGTTGTTAGGTGCTGTTTGACAGGCTTTTTAGTGCCTGTGAGCTATGGGTGTACGTGCTCAGAAAAGCGCATGTTAGGACAGCGCATCAGCCTGTGAATGAAAATGTTTAACCGGCAATGCTTAAAGCACTTTCAAATAATTAACTTTTGTGAATTGCAGTGTCCCGTGAGTGTAACTCGACATCCGCGTTAACATCTGATGTGAATGTACGTCGCGTCGTGAGACGGAGGCGCCAGAACTGCAACTGATATAATGCACTGTAGCACGGTAGATCGTGGAGACATTTTAATCGTCCACGATCAAAAACCGTGATATTGCACACCCCTAGATTGAAGGGTTTTTATGTTTGTGGAATTGGAAGCAAGCCGAATACATCTGTTTCTAGACCGCACTCAGTTCTATGGCGAATTTGGGTTAAAAGCGAATCGATTCTGTCGAAGAGAGAATCGTGATGCATCTGCTATTATCAGTATATTGAACAATGACATCTTTAACTGAGATAATTTTTGTCAGTCATTCATCACTTAGGGCTAGAGATGCACCGATTGCAAATTTCTTGGCCGATTCTGATTGACAGCATATACAAACAAAAATCTACTTTTCTTCAATGCTAAAAAGTAAAAAGGCAGTAATACAATAATGCAAACAGCACAAATAAAGGCAATAGAATAAATAGAGGTATGAGATAAACACTGCTTTACATTTTTCAGTTGCGTCTAACATTATTTCAGGTAAGATAACACTGGATATTCTTCATTGTAAAAATTAAATACAGATTAAAGGGATAGTTCACTTTGAAATTAATTTTTGATATGTTTCAGCTTACCTCAAGGGCATCCAAGATGTAGGTGTCTTTGTTTCCGCAGAAGTTTCAATTTTGATATTTTTAGGTCAAACCGTTCTTGTCTGTCAGTCATATAATGCAGGTCTATGGTCACCACCTCAAAGAGCATGCACAGAGAAGTCCAAATTAAACATGATTTAATGACTCGTTTCGTGTCTTAGGCCATCAATGTGTACTTACATTTACGAGTCATTAAATCATGTTTAATTTGGACTTCTCTGTGCATGCTCTTTGAGGTGGTGACCATAGACCTGCATTATATGACTGACAGACAAGAACGGTTTGACTTAAAAATATCAAAATTGAAATTACTGCGGAAACAAAGACACCTACATCTTGGATGCCCTTGAGGTAAGCTAAAACGTATCAAAAATTTATTTCAAAGTGAACTATCCCTTTAACCCTTGTGCATCAATTAAAAAAAGTTACACATAGCTACACAGAGGACAAAAATGTCCGTGTCAAAGAACTGTCATAAAAATGTGAAGCTTGGGAGCACAGACTTAAGTTTGGTATCATTTTAAAGAAGACCCTTGGCAGATTATTGCTGAAGTAAAAATATAATAATAAGTAAATCCAAAAAAAAGTTATATAGGTATAAGTTTATGAAAATTATTTATGAAAATTATTTTACATAAAACATATATTTTATAAATCAAGTTGAACTCTAAAACGGCAAGAAAATCAAAGCCATAAATCTAAATAAGTTGTGTTCCAAATTTGAGGTTGATATCTCAAAAAATGAGCTTTCGGTAAGAATTTGTTTGGGCGCAGTAACAGATTTTCCCCATTGGGTGCCAGCAAAACTCCACTGGCGTACACAGTGATTGCATTTGTTATTTGCAGTTGAGTTTTTCTCTCTCACTATTACAAACACACACATGCGCACACACACACATATTTTTTTATAACACACATACTAACCACACTCTGACATCCATACCAACACACCCACACAAATATCGTTGCATAATGTATCGAATTGGCTCTATAATATGCCGAAGCAGAAAACAGGAATAAAGCGATATTTGTTTTATAGGCCAAACCTGGAAAAAATGGCACCATCTGATAAAAAATAGTAAAAATGTAAATTTTGAAGCCTTGCCAACAGAATGAAAGCCTCTTAACAAAGATTGCATCATTTTATAGTTAAATGGCACCAGGATTAAAAATTGCAGTTTTAATGGGTTTCAATGGGGACATTTTTGTCCAAAAGGCGCTGAGAGGGAATTATTTTTTGGACCTAGTGCAAAAAAGATTTTTCAAAGGAAATGGAAGTGTAATAGTAAAATTACAATAAAAATACACACCTGTGCCAAAATTCATCCAGTTAGCATTAACAAAAAAAAAAAAGTTACACATAGCTACAAAGTGGACAAAAATGTCCATGTCAAAAAACTGTCATAAAAATGTTAGGCTTGGGAGCAAAGACTTAAGTTTGGTCTCATTTTAAAGAGGACCCTTGGCAGATTATTGCTGAAGTTAAACAAGTGAAAAAAGTGAAACCAAACATTTTGTATAGAGGTTTAAGTTTATGAAAATTATTTATGAACATTATTATCGTTATTTTATATAAAATATATATTTTATGAAACATGTTGAACTCTAAAACTGATATAAATTCAAAGCCATAAATCTAAATAAGTTGTGTTCCAAATTTGAGGTTGATATCTCAAAATATGAGCTTTCGGTAAGATTTTGTTTGGGTGCAGTAACAGATTTTCCCCATTGGGTGCCAGCAAACCTCCACTGGTGCACACAGTGATTGGATTTTAGATTTGCAATTGAGTTTTTCTCTCTAAAATTTTACAAGCACACAAACAGACACACACACAATTTTTTTTTTATTACACGCATACAAACCACACTCAGACATCCATACCAACACACCCACACAATTATCGTTGCACAATTTATCCAATTGGCTCTATAATATGCCGAAGCAGAAAACAGGAATAAAGCGATATTTGTTTTATAGGCCAAACCTGGAAAAATGGCACCATCTGGTAAAAAATAGTTAAAATTTAAAATTTGAAGCCTTGCCAACAGAATGAAAGCCTCTTAACAAAGATTGCATCATTTTATAGTTAAATGGCACTGGGATTAAAAATGGCAGTTTTAATGGGTTTCAATGGGGACATTTTTGTCCAAAAGGCGCTGAGTGGGAGTATTTTGTGTACCTAGTGCAAAAAAGATTTTTTTAAGAAAATGGCGGTGAAATAGTAAAATTACAATAAAAATACACACCTGTGCCAAATTTTATGCAGTTAGCATTAACACAGGCAAAGTGATAAAAAAAAAAAAAAACTGAAAAGGACAAAAATGTCCATATGGATGCACAAGGGTTAATGTTTACAATTAAAGTTAAAAAATTTATTCAGTCAAGAAAAGAGTAATTTTCTTTGTCTTTTGTTCTTTGATTAACATAAACTCTTAAGTGACAGCAGTCTAATATTTTATGAATGGATCCAATATATTGTTACACAACATGCGTTATCTTTCTCAACTATTTACGTTCTAAAACTGACTGTTTAACTGAATACTCGCCAAGACGGACATTTTGAGAATTTTGAGTATTTGAATGAATGCGGTATTTTGGGGTTGGATTTGTCCAGCTGCATGTTTCCATGCGACTGACTGTGAGCTTGGCTGTGACGTTATTTCCTGTGCAGGACCTACACTACGTTCCCAAATGTGGTTATAATGTATGTTGTATGTAATTTAAATATGAATAGCAAATTATAAATCTGATGCTGTTGTAAGTTGTGTGTAAATTTTGTTAAAGTCCCTGTAAAGGCAATTCTAAAAAAAAATTCTAAACCCATTATAAATGTTTGAAATGTATTGCTAAAACATATTACAAAGACTGTGAATTAATGAATTGTGGAGTTAGACCGTTAAACAGTTTTTCACCATTGCTATTTTCCGGATTTTTTGGGCGGGGCTAAAACGGGGCTCGATGACGCACTGGAGCCCCTGAGCTCCTGGACACGCCCCTACTTGATGACGCACTGAGGCCACCCAATCGCGACTTACTGTCAGTACTATTAGTTACTACAGCCTACAGTTTGCTTGCTAGCTAGCTATGCCTTCGACACGGAAATGCGTAGGCTACTACCTGGATGCGATCATGTACTAAACAGATCGGTGTCTTTATTTAAATTTCCTAAAAACGATCACATCAAGAATAGGTGGATTCATTTTGTGAAGAGCCAACCTTGATGGAGAGCTGAGGATCACCGCCAACACCCGCCTCTGTAGCGATCATTTTACACGGGATAGTTTTATAAACTTTCGTCGGAGACAACTGGGATTCACTGATAATCCACTGTTACTGGTGAATGGGGCCGAGCCGACTATCTCCCGCCTCGGCCTTCATATCCCCGTCCCGAAAGCAGTATCACAAATATCACCGTCGGCTGCTTTCCCGCGAGTGGGCGTGGTTTCAGCGCAGCCAGCGGACACGCCCCCAGCGTTTGAGAGCAGAGAATACTACTCATTTTTTCAAGATTTTGATAGCTTATTTTATGTACTTGCCGGCTTTTTTTATCATTCAAATTTGTCTGGGTGGCTAATAACACATTTTTCTGTGGTGTGACAAACTCAGAACACATACTTAATTTTTACTTTACAGGGACTTATATAAATATAAAATGTAGTTTAAAAAGTGAGAAGATTTGAATCCCAGGAAACACGTGCCCTGATAAATGTATACCTTGAATGGACTAAGTATTTTTGGCAAAGCATCAGCAAATAAATAAAATGTAAATGCAAGTGAAAATGAGAAATGCCTGAACTTCCAAACAGAAAAAAAAAAAATGCTTATTGGTGAACCATGACACAAAGCTTAATGAAATGTTTTCAAAAATAATACATTAACTTTGCCAACCCTAGTAAACACAATTAGATGTCAACTCTTTTTTGTTATCGTTTTGCTATTATTGTTATTATGAACAATGCTGATCTGAAACTTGTGTGTACAGATTCTACTCTCCTATAGTAGCTCCTGGCAGTGTGCCCCTGCTCTTCTACCCTCCAGTTCCCCCTAAAATCAATGTTGAGTTCAACGCTATGGTTGCTCATGTAAACTCACCGTCAGACTTCTATGTACAACAAGTGGGTGTAAAAACACACTATTATAAATTCCAAATGAAATTAAATGAATGATTGAAAATGTGATTTACTCACCCTTGGTGAATGCAGGTTGAAAATATGGAGTACTTGCTGTTGCATTCGAAGCTTCAAGACTGTTACAGTCATCCCAATGCAGACCAGGAGTTCCAGATCTACTGCCCTTCTATCTCACAGGCCTGCGTCGCTAGCTATGACCAAGAGTGGTGCAGGGTCCAGGTCACAGGTGTGTGTGTGTGTGCACTATGTCAAACATATAAACATTCAGTAAAGGAAGACTGTCGCTCTGATAAAATGTATGACGGTTAAGGCCTCTGTTTATCTCTCAGGTTTCCCTGGTGGTCGGATGGTCGAGGTTCGGTATGTGGACTTCGGTTACATAAAGACTCTCTCCGTGAAAGATCTGAGACAAATAAAGGACGAGTTCTTTGCTTTGCCAGAAATGGTAAGATTTAGGCTGTAATACTGGTTATGAGGGACAAAACTGGTATGAAATTTTATACTTAAGTAAGTTTCATTCATATTTAAACCCCCTTTAATCAACAACTCCGGTTTCTACATCAATATCCAAATGAACAGACTAGTTTTAAATAATAATTACTTGCTGGTGCATGGCAAGATATCTTGTGATCGTGTTGCCTCTACAAGTACTTTTCATATTCACATACTTTTCATTTTAATGCCATGGTAACAAACATACCTGAGAGTGCAAATATCCTGTATCTTAGGGTGTACTCACACTAGGCACTGTTGCCTTGTACCGTGTTTTTATGAAATGTAATGGAGTAAAAAGTATGATATTATTAGGGTTGGGTACCGAAACGCGGTGCCAATAGGGAACCGGTTCTGACGTAAACAGTAGTAGCCAGACCGAATAAGAACGAAAATTTCGGTGCCTGATTTCGGTGCCTGAGTCTCTGTGTCATGAGGCGCACACACGCAAAGTCTCTCGCTCTCGCGCCGTGCACGCACTATACGGTTTGGAGCACAGTCTGTTCCGTCTCTCATGCGCGCTCTTGCTCGCTCGCTCTAGATTCCGGGAGATTTGAACTAATTTGCGGGCATCAGGGAGCCGTTATCAATATGCGGGAGACTCCCGGAACGTCTGCTGATAGCGAGGGGATTAATGAAGATGCCGAAGACAAAACGCTCCCAAGGTTTGGCTGCATTTCACGTGTAAAATTACGCGTCAGAACGCCCTCTAGGTGTGCCGATTGTCTGAAGAATCATATAGAATCACGCCAATCCATTGGCTGATGGCGTGGGCGCCGCCTTGACGCTCTTACGTCGTCATATTATATTAGCGCGCGCATCATCTGCTCCTCAGATTTTTCTGCCGAAAAAGGAAGCTTGTCGGCAGCGCGAGGAGTTTGGCAGTGAACGCAGCGTCTCGTTCCCTATTCAGAGAACATGGGTTACACCATTAACCAGAGACGTTCTCTTTCATAAGTTTACTCAAAGCTGCGTAGCTAAGATGCAGTGGGAACGAAATACCAAACTTGCCAAGCTAAGCGCTGCGTAACTAGTACAATGACCAGATAACTTACATGACTGGTTCAAGCAGACAAAACATGGGAACCTGTAGCCATGTCGATATTAGATTACCCTGCTGGTAATCTCTATTAATCTCCAGTATTATTACATTGTTTGATACAATATTGTTTCATTTGATATTATGTAAATGTGAATTTTTTTTTATATTGGTTTATTTATTATTACCATATGTTACTTGTATTTATATTGTTTAAAGATATAAGTTAATATTGTGTCCAGTTTGGCCCTGTAAATAAAGGGGTATTATTTTTTGACAAAGTGTGTGCGGTTTCGTTTTCTTAAGTACCGTTTCAAGAACAGTTTAAGCACCGGAACCGTTTAAAAAATACAGAGTAGGTACTGGTATCGGATAAAACCCAACCGATACCCAACCCTAGATATTATGCTTTGGAATGTAGTGAAGTAAAAGTTTCCAAAATAAATATACTCTAAAGAACAGATATTTGAAAAATGTACTTAAATACAGTAACAAAGTAAAAATACTTCCACCGGTCCACCACTGGTAAATATTGAAAATAAATATAAGGAAAATATTTAGCTCCTTCCAGATCATGCATGCTCCAGTTGTTTCTGTTAAAGGACCCAAGATAGATATATCGGCTGTTCCACAATCTTTCCTCACCGACACTCTACTCTGACACCCTACTGCAAATGATTTTGTCAATTTTGGTTGAACTTATCTACATCTATGAAACTAATCCTTCAAGTGTTTAAATGTAATAATTTCATTCCCCTTATGTTTGTTTCATTTTGATTTTGTCAACATAAAAATAAAATGTAATATTTAAAATCAAATGTGCAGTGAAAATTACCCCGCAGTATCAGATAGCATCCCACTAGTAAGAATGATCCTGTCAAAGCAGGTCTTACAAGCACACCTCAATCATCGGCATGAGACCTCTGATAAATAACCAACTTAAGGAAGCCTATCTGTCCATCTATTTTCAGGCCTTGTGGTGCAGTCTGAATGATGTGGTCAGTTTGCAGAAAACATGGAGTGATGAAGCCTGTGATATGTTTAAGGAACTCGTGGAGCATAAACTTATCACTGTTGTGGCAAAACGTAACTTTACACCTACAGACATAAACACTAGGGGTGTAACGGTTCAAATTACAAAAGGTTTGGTTTTTATTTCTTAGGTTCATGGTTTCGGTACGGTTCGGTATGTGTTTAGGGTAAAATGACAACTGTCAAATAAAAATAAAGAAAATATGAACAAATAATCGAACTACAAGCAATAGTACAAAATAAATACAATAGAGCAAAAATACAAATAAAATCCAGTTAGTCCACTACATATACACATGCACTGATACTGATACACATGTTGTCTTTCTTGACTGTTTACAATATTTTTGTGAATTTGTCCATTCAAGCCCATAACTTGAAATTAATATTTGCGCACTGTCTGAGACGCAGCTTTCCGTGTGCGTGCTTCGGATGATTGCACACACAAATCTTCTCACAGCGTGCGCAAGGTCTTTCACGTCTGCTTGGGCTTGAATGTTTAAATTGCCAAGGCTTAAATGAGTTTAGTTTAAACACATTAAAACTACTCACGCTCACGCGCTATCAACACCTGGGTGATGACGTCATAAATAACTGGTCATATTAGAGCATACGGCACTCCTATTTAACTAAGTTTAGGAGAAGATAGAATGTGTATCCATTGACAGAAACCTTCATTATCCTAACTCTGTCTGTTTTATGTGTTATTTTCAATAAACCATATTTTAGATGCGTCTGCGTCGTCAGATTTGAGAAACCGCGGTGCAAGTTTGTGCCGAACTGTGGATGGAGAACTTTTTATATATATATATTAGGGATGTCCCGATACCACTTATTCACTTCCGATACCGATGCCGCAGCTTTGGCTATTTGCCGATACCGATATCAATCCGATTTCTTTATTTTATTCTTGAACTAATACTAATAAAATTAATGGAAGCACTTTGCTCATTTAGCCACCTAAAACATCTCACTCAAATGGAGAACAAATACTTCTCCAGTATATAGTCCACAACAACAGTTGATTATGAAAGACTGCCACCCTTTTTTTAAACACTACAAATAAATAAATAAATAAAAATACAGGTACTTCAGTGCTTAAAGCTACCAACAGGTTTAAAGTAGGGCTGTCAAATGATTAATCATGATTAATCACATCCAAAATAAAAGTTTTTTTTACATAATATATGTGGGTGCACTGTGTATAATTATTTTATATATATAAATACACACACATGCTTGTATATATTTAAGAAATATTTTCATGTATATACTGTATATAGATTTATATATAATTTATATTATATATAAATATAAATATTTTATATATAAATAATATTTTTTTCTTAAATATACATGCATGTGTGTGTATTTATATATATATATACAAAATAATTATACACAGTGCACCCACATATATTATGTAAAAAAAACTTTTATTTTGGATGTGATTAATCGTGATTAATCATTTGACAGCCCTAGTTTAAAGTTAATCATTAACAAGCTTTAAATTACACATTGATCCGTGTACTTTTGCATCCATTCGTTTTTCCTTTTTTAACCCGTAAAACGAAAAATGAACGGTTGTTGTATTTTTAAAACGCAAAGTTGAACACCAAAATTTTAATTTGAACTGTAGGCACACCAAATGGTGCGCAAAAAAATAATTATTGACGTACTTTCAGATTTTTCTTTATGACTTTTTGCCCCTTTATTAAACATTTAAAATATTCACAAATTAATATAGAAAAAAAGTTTTTCCCGCAGTGTTGAATGAGAAGAGCCATGTGTCTGGAACCATACAGAGAGGTGATTTAGGCTCTAGATGATTTATAGGCTAATAATAATAAATGTGTCTGAAAAATAACGATGTATTTTAATTGTTTATTAATAAACTAGTGTTTTCTAAATCAGTGTCGGCTGGAAACATATCTCCATCTCTGCTGTAAAGCGGATGCGCCTTTAGAGAGAAATTCATAGCTATGGATTAATCAGACGGTTTGCTTTCGATTCGAATTTGTTCGTTTAAAAGTGGACATTTCAAGCTTTAGCCTACATAGGTAGGCTATATTTTGTTTCAGTTCATTTTTGAGATGCGATCCAGTTCACAGAGACCATGAAAGCACGCCTGATTGTTTTCTTTTATTTTACAAAAGCACAACGTTTTCTTGTTATTGTGAGTTTACACAAATAAATATAGATAGAGTATTTTAAGTTGTTTCCACTGTTGATAGGAAAACGCTAGTGTTTGCACCCGCGCCTCCGTGCCATGCAGTGCGCTCCACACTCCGCACAAACCCTTGCTTGGACATGCGTCAAAATCTTGTGTCTACAGTTTACAGCCTATGGTTTATAAACTGAGGAGACTGAATGCAAAACCGTGTTTTTAGTACACAGAAGGTAGTGGGTGGGAGTGTCTGTTGTGAGTTTAGGGGGCACGTCAGCCAGAGATGTAGAGTGAGAGAGAGAGAGAGAGACTACTGCCTGCTGAACAGAGGGTCGCCGAAAGAAGGATCTGAAGTGCCGGTGTTTCGGCTACAAAAACCCGCCGAACTGATCCGAAACCAGCCCAACTTTTAAACACCCGCCCAAACCCTTTTTAGCCCGCAAAATAGATTGCAAAATTAGCCCAATTGGCGGGAAAACGCCCAATCTGCAGGCTGAGCCGCTCAACTGGATGTCGCAGCAAGGGAAATGCTAATATTCAAGCATTTCAAGCATTGTTGGATAGGTATCAGATCATATTTTTTTCTCCCCTCCGATCTAGCATTCTGGGCCAGTATCGGCACGATACCGATGACGTGGATCGGATCGGGACATCCCTAATATATATATATATATAAACAGAGAACTGTTACACCCTTTATAAACACACATAGACATCTGAGATACATCAATGCTTTTAAGCAAGTTTAATGTTTACATTTCTGTAGTTTTTATATACATTTTCCATAATAAAATTGAGGGTAATGTGGTATACTGTACATTTTTGCTTGTCACTCATGTTTATTCAGAGTCCAACACTACACCTTTGCCCGTGTGTCTGTATGAGATTGGGGACGATTTTCCAGGAACCAGTATTGTGGACATACTGGTCAGAAATGGCCTTGCTGTTTCCAGTAAACAGTAAGTTGTAAAAAGACCAAAGAAACATCTGGACCATCTTTCTTTCTGTTTTTCGTTCTTTCTGTCCCTTTTTTCCCCCTCTTGCTCGCTCATTTAAGCTAAGCTGTAAAATTCATTCTTTTCCATGTTCATTTTCTCCTGCTTTATCAGGATCCAGGTTAAAGACACCCAGCCCTTGGAGACGACTGTCTGGGACCCTCCATTTGAGGAGGAAGTTCGGTGTGTTGTGCCGACTCCCCCTCCTGCTTCTGAAGAGCTGAAGCCTAGCCTGAGTCTGCCTACCTGTCTCAAAGACATCAGAGTTCGTGTGACGCACGTCACCTCCCCTGGAAACATCTTTGTGCAGCTGCTGCAGTTTGACACCCAGCTGAAGAGGTGCCCGGTTTTCTCAGTCCATACTCTATAGTCATCAGATGCATTTGAAGTTGTAACGCTGCCATTTTGCTTGCAATGTTTGCAGAATCCACGACACACTAAAGAGTCTCTTCTCTAAGTCTGAGCCGCAAGAGATGCACTGGGAAGCAGAGATGTTCTGTGCTGCTAATAACACTGGGGTTTGGGAAAGAGGAAAAGTGTGCAGCGTGTCCACTAGTGGTGTTGCAGAGGTATTTGTGCACACACTTATTGAATAAAATGGAAAGAGTGGGAATCTGCTGTTTAATTGGACTGGTGTGTGTTTATAGGTTTTGCGTTGTGACTTTGGTAATAAAGTGAATCTCCATGTGAACAATCTCAGACCCCTCTGTGCGGATCTAATTGGATCTTTCTTACTGGAATGTAACCTCAGTGGTATAAGGTAAATTATCTTTTCCCCACAGTTGTGCATATACAGTTGCAGTCATAAGTTTACTTGCACTTTGCAGAAACATAATAATTGCTGATAGAATAAATTGTACCTATTTTCTCTTCAGGGAATCATTGAAGTATCATATTTAGCTTCTAAAGGGCAGTATTAAATGGAAAAATAAGATATTTAAACAAAATAAGAACCGGGTTTTTATTTTATTTTTTTAAAGGAGAACTCCGGTCAATTTTAACATTGAGCTCATTTTTTTGTACATATGGAGTGCTGTCAGTACAGACAAAAATTACAAAAATCGGTGTTGCCTACACCGTGTTATCCTCTTTTTAAAATTCGCACCCTGTTGACTTCAATGGGGCAAGTTTTAAACCTGCTTTTAGCCTCTTAAGAACCTTGATTTGTCATTACAAGTGCACAGCCATGTGAGTGGTGTTATTAAGAGTGACCACGGTCAATCTGACTGCAGTAGATGTGCAAGATATTAATAAAAATGATGTTAATTCAGCCAGCCCACATACCTGTATTTACTTCCTGTTTTCGTTCGAAGTCCACGGTAGTCAATTGTCGAGTTCGCGCGCGCGATCATTAGTTATATTAGTCATTAAATATAACTAATGATCGCGCGCGCGAACTCGACAATTGACTACCGTGGACTTCGAACGAAAACAGGAAGTAAATACAGGTATGTGGGCTGGCTGAATTAACATCATTTTTATTAATATCTTGCACATCTACTGCAGTCAGATTGACCGTGGTCACTCTTAATAACACCACTCACATGGCTGTGCACTTGTAATGACACATCAAGGTTGTTAAGAGGCTAAAAAAAGGTTTAAAACTTGCCCCATTGAAGTCAACAGGGGTGCGAATTTTAAAAAGAGGATAACACGGTGTAGGCAACACCGATTTTTGTCGTTTTTGTCTGTACTGACAGCACTCCATATGTACAAAAAAATGAGTTCAATGTTAAAATTGACCGGAGTTCTCCTTTAATGCATTTTGTTCTTGAGCATCAATGAATGTTTGCACCTTTTGTAATAGTTGTTTGAGTCCCTCAATTGTCCTTATTGAGAAAAGATGCATCTCAAAACCATACAATCACTTTTGGAGGGTTCAAATATGCAGAAGATGTGCAAGTTTTCTCAAGAACCAGTTAACTGCTAAGGACAGACCAGGGACTATTACAAAACAAAAAACTTTTTCATGGATCATTTGGCATATGTAACAGGGAATTTTTTTTTTTTATTCAGCTATTTATGTCTTATGTAGGACTAAACACATTTCTCTTTCTCTCTAACTCTCAGGCCAGCTGGTGGTCGCTCTACATGGACAGCCACAGCGTGTGACTTTATCTCTCTCTACTTGACCGGTGCCATGGCTGTAATGGACATAAAGGTTAGAATGAATGTAAAGAAATGAAAACTTCAACCATAGAAGTTAACTCTGTACGCTGATTTCACGCAGCCGACATTTTGAAATGGCTCCGGTGGGAAGAAAACCGGAAGTGTCGCCTTTAATCATAGTAGAGTTGCGAATGCGATGGCGTATTGTTGTGTTTAATGTAGAAATTAGTTATTCTAAAAATGTACATACATTTCTTTCATACTTTAGACTTAATACAGTGAAATTCATTTATAAATAAAATGAATTTTTTATATATAATTCAGAACGTAAAAAAAAGAAGCAGGAACGAACTTTATACATATCCTTAATATTAACATCCAATAGTGTAAATTGTGGCAGCAGCTTCAGGTTGGTAGTCCAAGGCATTGTTGTCTATCTGTACTTCCGGGGTTCTTCCCACCGGAGCCTCGGTTTCAATTTCAAAATGGCGGCTGCGTGAAATCAGCGTATTAAAGCCAGTTCCTGTCTCTGATTCTGTGTGTAATTTCCCTCTCAGGAGCCAACCGCCAGTCCAGTGCTTGTGTGTCTGTTCTGTTCGAACCGGGCCGGTCAAAACGTAAATTTTGCTGATTTTCTCATTAGTGAAGGCCTTGCACTAAAGGAGAGAAAGTAAGAAAAATGTCACTACAGGATAGTAGTAATTCAGATGAACATTAATGTCAAGCCTTTCATATACTGAAGTAAACTGTTCCTAGGGCTGCTTCCACATCTGAGACAGTTTTTTCAGAGGAGTGTGTGTTGAGCGAGGAGGTTCCTGAGCAACAGAGAATAGTGAGTCCATCTCAGACTCCGCCCAGACCCACCCCTCGCTTTAACCCATCACCAGAGAGAGTGCAGACACGCTCTTACCCCCCTCCAGAGCTGCCTCCCTGCGGAAACACGCTCATGAGCATCTCAGCCATCTCTGAACAAGGTGTCATTTATGCAATGACACACCAAGCAGGTGTGTGAAGTTTTTATTGGTAGCTTAAACAAATAAAACTTTTCAGCATCTCTCTCAGCCTTAAAAAATGTATGTAAATGACTTCTGTTATGATTGGCTAACCTGATATTTTTAATGAGATTGCCACTGGCTACAATATAAATTTACATGTTATGATGAAATGTGCATGTAATGCCTTTTTACCTGCGTGTTCTGTGATGAGTAGCCTATCAAATCTTTTGTTGTGTTGCCATAATATAAATTAGACTGTGCACCGGTTTCACTCACTGAGTTTGGGGTGCAAAATATCCACGGGGACAGAAATGCGATAGAATGTCAAAACAAAAAATATCAGACTTTTTCAAACAGTCCTCATCTCTGTTGAACAATTTGTAGGGCTTTGTAACTTTTAATGTTACTTTTAATATGTTTGTTCCTTTAATAAACAAATTCTCAGCTTTCAAATTCTGCCAATTTTACCTCAAAATACAAACAATAAATATGTTTTTTTTTTATCTTTAATGCGGCGTGACAGATCGCTTCAGTTTAAGCGGCATGTGAACCGATCATTATTTACTACTAGTTATAAGATGAAAATATATATATAAATATAGCTGCGAGCAGCGATTGCGGGCCCAAGCCGGTGGCACTGCCACCCCGGTGCCTTTAGGGTTACTGTGCACGACGTGCAAAAACGTAACCCCGCTTTCACTGTCGCCCTACGGTCTCATGGATTTAACGGACACATGAAATAAGTACACAAGACCGAAAATTCATATGAAGTGTACCATTTTGGACAGGGCCTATGATCGTGAATCACAATAGCCACATATATGAGAATTTAAATTTAGAATCATTTTTAATGTCATAGGATGTCATAGGTCAATCTGTTTTGCAGCACTTAAATGTGTAAATCCAGAAGCCCAGTATTTATCTGGAGGTCTTTGCCCTTTGCCTGTCAACCTGGTTTGTCTCTGCCTTTTCTGTTCTGCCCTGTTTGCCATTTCTTAATAAAAAGCTGCAAATGGATCCCCCTGGCCTGACCCTGCCTCGTTACAACACATATGCTGCATCTGCTCGCTATCTGCCGAACGGCTCTGGTAGTTCCGCTTCAGCACTGATGATGTTGTAGGAATAGTGCGCTCTGGTTGGTCTGGATTATTCGGGATTTTTTATTTTATACAGAAATAAGTTATTTATAATTTAGATGAGAATAAAGTTAGTGTTGATTAAAATGAAGGAAAACAAATATATTGATCTGAAATATAGCACATAAATTTTAAATTAATTTAGGTTCAATTACCAAACATACAATCTTAATTTAATTTAAAGCAAACAATACATTTAAAGTATGACTAGTCAGAATGGCGTTGTAGATATCTCAAACTGGAGTTAGGGATAGTCATAATTTAATTGTAGATATTTATTATCAAGTTATAAATATCTTGAAATTCATTTTGATTAGAGATATCTGAAATTTGATATCTGTAACTTTCATTTTATTGGGTTAGCTATGCGCACTGTGATTGGCTCATCGCATTTGGGGGTGTGGCTTAGCCATAGGTCAATTACGTTACAGATGTCTTAAATGATAATACAAACTATCCAAAATATAATTACGACTTGTCAGAAAGACGTTGTTGATTTCTACAATGTTAATTCCGGATAGTCAAACTTAGCTTTTAAATGTTAAAAGGGCTTGCCATACAGAGACGTAGGCTCAGAGAGAGGCTCACCATATTCAAACCAAAATATCTGACTTCCTGTTGGTCGGAGCTAATGACTGTAAATTAGAAAGTTGTCCGGCTCGAGGAGAACAATATACATACCGATTTTTGTAACTGTAGATAAAACTAATCCCCCCACTTTTGACAAAAGGTGGCGCTACTGAGCCCTCACCACGCCCGTTTCTGAAACTTTGCACATGTCTACTGGCTAATAAATGTAATGTGTCTGAGTTTTATGGAATTTCAAGCATGCTAAGAGTCTCAAAAGCATCAAACAAGAATATTAAAGTTTGATACGTTGCCACGGCAACAGTATCTAAGTTATCAATACTATTTTCACAGCTCTACATCTGCCGTGTGTTTACATTATACACATAAAGTTTGAAGCAAATCGGGTAAAAATAAGAGATATCTTAAATTTGTAAAAATAAGAGGGTTATTTCAAAGCATTTAGAAAGTGACACACTTCCTGCTGCCAGTTGGTGGCGCTATAACTTTGACTCACAATAGTCACATCCATGTGACCGGCCTCTTACAACGAACACACTGCTGAAGTTTCCCCAAGATCAGTTAATGTATGCAGAAGTTATAACACACTTCCTGTTTCTCTTTTCGCGCCATAATTTCGTTTCCTCGCCATGGCCAAACCGTTCGAGATATCAAAAATCCCCTGGCAATTTTTCATCCTCAATGTCTTGACTTCATGTTGACCGAGTTTCGTGCCGTGTCTTTGAATTCTCTTGAAGGAGTATTTCAAATTCCATTGCATGCGTTTTCCAAACAACCCTAAATAGCCGACTTCCTGTTGGGCTGGGGAAAAAAGTAAGAGTATGAAGTGTATATGAACATATGAGATCTATATGTGTACTGAGTTTCATATTATTACATGCAAACGTGTTTGATTTATGGACCAAGTTTTCGGACCCCGTTCCAGGGGGCGCTGTCGAGCCCCCCTGCCACGCCCGGGTACCATCTTCAGCCCGGCCCTGATGGCCGCGGGTTCCGAACCGTGTGCAAAGTTTCAAGAGTTTTTGAGCATGTTAAGGGCCCCAAAAGTGCCAGAATAGTCGTTAGAATTTTTTTTTTAAATGTATCCTAAGGAAAACAATAGGGCCTTCGCCCTTTCAGGGCTTGGGCCCTAATAAGCATGAATGAACATCAGAAGGTATGTTAAAAGAAACGGTACAACTTTCTGAAATGTATTGTCTTATGTAATCGCTTAATCTGTTACAAATGGGGAAAGACCTCAATAAAACATTTTGTAAACTGTCACATACCATTACATTTGCCTCATTCAATGTCCATAAACTTGTTAGTCAGCTATAGGGTTGGGTACCGAAACGCGGTGCCAATAGGGAACCGGTTCTGACGTAAACGGTAGTAACCAGACCGAATAAGAACGAAAATTTCGGTGCCTCATTTCGGTGCCTGAGTCTCTGTGTCATGAGGCGCACACACGCAAAGTCTCTCGCTCTCTCCCTCTCTCTCTCCGCCGTGCACGCACTATACGGTTTATTGGAGCACTGTCTGTTCTGTCTCACATGCACACTTTTGCTCGCTCGCTCTAGATTCCGGGAGATTTTAACTAATTTGCGGGCATCAGGGAGCCGTTATCAATATGCGGGAGACTCCCGGAACGTCTGCTGATAGCGAGGGGATTATTGAAGATGCCGAAGACAAAACGCTCCCAAGGTTTGGCTGCATTTCACGTGTAAAATTACGCGTCAGAACGATTGTCTGAAGAAGCCCATATAGAATCACGATTCACTCCAATCCATTGGCTGATGGCGCGGCCGCCGCCTTGACGCTCACGTCATCGTATTATATTAGCGCGCGCATCATCTGCTCCTCAGATTTCTCTGCCGAAAAAGGAAGCTTGTCGGCAGCGTGAGGAGTTTGGCAGTGAACGCAGCGTCTCGTTCCCTATTCAGAGAACATGGGTTACACCAGTAACCAGAGAGTTTACTCAAAGCTGCGTAGCTAAGATGCAGTGGGAACGAAATACCTAACTCGCCAAGCTAAGTGCTGTGTAACTAGTACAATGACCAGATAACTTACATGACTGGTTCAAGCAGACAAAACATGGGAACCTGTAGCCATGTCGATATTAGATTACCCTGCTAGTAATCTCTATTAATCTCCAGTATTATTACATTGTTTGATACAATATTGTTTTATTTGATATTATGTAATGTGAATTTTTATTTCATATTGGTTTATTTATTATTACCATATGTTACTTGTATTTATATTGTTTAAAGATATAAGTTAATATTGTGTCCAGTTTGGCCCTTTAAATAAAGGGGTATTATTTTTTGACAAAGTGTGTGCGGTTTCGTTTTCTTAAGTGCCGTTTCAAGAACCGTTTAAGCACCGGAACCGTTTAAAAAATACAGAGTAGGTACTGGTATCGGATAAAACCCAACCGATACCCAACCCTAGTCCGCTAGAAAAAAAACTCTAGATAGGATCATTTTGCTAAATGTATGCACTATATTACATATTCATTCAAATTTTACTTAACCTGTTGTCTACATGATAAGAAGCTAAAAAATAAAATCCAACACTGCCTATATGATTGCATGTGTAGAGCTGCCATTCACCAAATTTACCTCTCAGATATTACTAATGAAGAAAAATGGACTGGATGTGTGCAAGACATATGACAACATTTATAGGATGCATTGAGGCGGTGGCCAAACTACACTCAATGGCTGTTCACACTTGTAGTTCGGTTCGTTTGGTCCGGACTAAACGTTTACATGTCTTTGGTCTGTGTTGCGTTTATATTTCATTCAAACTACACCAGAGTTCATTTGGAAGTGGACCGAGTCCATTTCAGCAGTCTTGGTTCGCTTGTTAAGTGCGCTCCAGGGTTCAGATGGCAGCGTTCACACTTATTTAAATTTACAGCACTAACAGAGCAATCGCACTAGGGTTCGTTTTAATTGCAACAAACATGGCGTATGATTTTCAAGTAGAAAAAGATGAGCCATGGTCATATGTTGTTAAACATGGGCAAGGAACATTTGTTTCTCATGATATGTCCTCTCCCAGTACTCTTTTCTTTTTTTTTCTGCTGTGTTTAGTGTGTGAGTTTGATCGCTTGCGGGAGCGGCTGCAACAGTACATTAAAACTCTGCCGAGACAGAAGAACTACAACTGGAAAGGAGTTTTGGGCTGTGCTGTCATGGGAACCGACATGTTCTGGTACAGAGGTCAGGTGCAGGAGGTCATTGGAGGACACGTGAAGGTCAGTGTGCTTTCGTTGCATTGCATTACTTCTGTGTGAAAGTGAATTTATTTAAAAATCCCAAATCCTCTGATCAAATATAATTGGCTTAACACTTTGGGTTGTATTGTTTTGTTACCAGTTTGTGATGTAATTGTTACAGGTCCGATATGTGGATCAGGGACTTGTGGAGAGCATCCCGGTTTGTCACGTGTACCCAGTGGTTCTCTGTGAGGATGTGCCGCAGCTCTGTGTGCCTTGTCAGATAAATGGAGTCATACCGGTATGTGTGTGTGTGGTAATTTTGAATTTGATCACTTTGAATGTAAACTGCGCAATGTGATCAATCTCGCAGCAGTGCATCCTTTAAACCAGGGATTTCCTACACAAAAAAAAAATTCACCTCTTTGACCTAAAAATATTTACTTCAGGTACCATCAGTTTTTAAATTAGTATTTCAATAATGAAACACATTTACGGTTATTGGCAGTTAACCCTTTCGCACGTGCGATCACACCGGTGTGATCAGTCTTGGCTGGTCCCTGGAGCGTACGATCACACCGGTGTGATTAGAACGGTCAGTGCATCACGTGATCAACTGCTAAATTCATATATGCTTTCGCGCTTTGGCTGGCGCTGAGCCAGAGACAGACGCGCTCAGCGCTGTCATATATCACAACTTTTCAGTGTTTTCAACCACATAATGTTTATTTTAGGTTTCAGACATTTAAATACACATAAGTACTAGTAAAAAAAGAATTTTGAGTTTGTAAAATACACACTGATGTCTATGGAAGCGGCAATAATAATCCTTTCCATTATATTAAGACGACACGTTTTATTCATATCAGATACACATTGTCTAAGTAGCTTTACATTTTACCCTATTCTTTTCTAGGGGTGGGGGGAAAAATCGATTCTTAGATGCATCGCGATGCGGACGTGGACGATTCTGAATCGATTCACAAATGTCAAAAAATCGATTTTCCCCCCCAAAAAAAAGATTTTTTTGATATATTTATAATAACGTAATATTGACGGAACGCGAAAGACGGAACTCTGAAGCGCGGAAGTGCAGTGGCCGGACCGTCTGTGGCGTGCACATAACAGAGACGCGATGGCTGAGCGCTAAACACCCTCCGCGTTAAGGCCAATTTATACTTCTGCGTCGAGTGTACGCCGTAGTGTACGGCGTACGCTACGCACGTAGGCGACGCCGTCATGAGCATTTATACTTCTGCGTTTAGGTCTGCGTTGCTCTGCAGTACAGCGCCGAAACGCTAGTTAGCGGCGGAGGGTTTTAATGTTCCACTGTGTTTAGATTCCTCGCGGCAAGAAGAAGAAGATTCCTCGCGGCTGTTTTGAGTTTAGGTTACTACAAGCAATGTCGACTGAAAGAGAGCAGATCATGTTGGAGTTGGAGCTTATCGAGGTGGAAAAGGTTTTTTTTTTTTTTTTTTTTTTTTTTTTTACAGTTTCGGTGTACTTAGAATTTAAAAATGGCGGGTGGTGCAGAAGAACACGCCGGAAATACATAGGAGGAAACGCGATGCTCCCAAGCCGACCAATCACAGATCTTGCGGTCCGCGTCGTCGCGACGTGTAGTTACATTTTTGAGGAGGTGCGCGTCAGGTTACGGCGAAGGGTACGGCGTATGGTACGCGTCTGTGCGTATGCTACGCCGTACCTACTGCGCGCACCCGACGCAGAAGTATAAATTGGCCTTTAGGTTAAAAGCTGACGTGTGGAGATATTTTGGCTTCTGAAGTTGAAGGGGGAAAGGAGCTGGACAAGAGCCACACTAGTTGTAAGCTTTGTATAATAAAACTAACGACCGAAACACGACAAATATGAGAAACCATATGACACGTTTCCAGCCAGAGGAGGAAAAACACTCGGCTGTACCAGTCGTTATAATATTAATTTACTACAAGTATGCTCCTAGTTTAGGCACACATTTATTTTCCTGTTGGTTCTTTGCAATGTTAATAAAATATATTGTACGTTAATTCTTTATGGGTCATTACTTTGTACTTTTAAAGCAAAGTATTTATAGTCACACACACACAAAAGATTCAGATAATTGATTTGTAACATTATAAATGTCTTCACTGTAACTTTTGATCAATTTAATTTATCCTTGATGAATAAAAGTATTGATTTCTTTTTTCTTTCGCCCAAAACAATTAAATAAAAAATCTTACCGACTCCAAAATTTTGAACGGTATTGTTTAATGTTACAAAAGCTTTCTATTTCAGATAAATGCTGTTCTTTTGAATTTCTGGGTGATTCTCTGAATTGGGTGCCCTTCAAATCCCCCAAACTTGCTTCAAAGATTTTCAATTGAAGGAAATCACAAAATGCATTTTAACGCTGTCAATTAATAGAACCAGGTGCCTTTGCATTATAATGCAACACAATTGCTTTTAAAAAATAATTTAATTTAAAGATAATGGGTTGCTTAAGTAGTAGACAACAAGCATGTTTGCATGTCCTCAGTAACCATCATTACATTTTCATTGAATATCAAACAAATAAAAAGTGCAAATTAATACCAAAATGTTGCTGCTAATATAATCATATGTTGGTCTAGTGTATTTTCGTTTACTGTTGTGAAATGGAAAATCTGTTAAGTTATGTTTCTTTTACTGCGCATGTGTGAAGAGCACCATTTTATGGGTTAGCGCGGTTTATTCAGTTGTTGTTCGGTCTGGCGTTCTATGAGAGGTAGAGCGGCTGTGTTAAGTGATGGAGCAATAAAGAATCTATTGTCTGATAACTGTTGTAGTTATTGAATCAACATTGGTAGCAGAGGATGGCTGCTGCTGGGAATTACAAAAATCCCCCACCGTTTGACGAGAAGACGGCTTATGAAAGTTGGAAAAATGAGATTGAAATTTGGAGACGCGTTACTGACCTGGAAAAGAAAAAACAAGCCTTGGCAGTTACTCTGTCACTAACGGGCAGAGCAAGGGACAGTGCTCTGGAAATTTCCGCTGAGGATTTGAATGACGACACGGGAATGCAAACACTCATAGCGAAGTTGGACTCTGTATTTTTAAAAGAAGAAAAAGATCGGCAGTACGAGGCGTACACGGAGTTTGACCGGATCACTAGAGAGAGCGGTGTTTCTATGGTGGAATACATCGTCGAGTTCGAACGTCGATACAACAGGCTACGTAAGTTCAAAATGGAGCTTCCTGATGCCGTACTAGCCTTTAAGCTACTTGATACTGCCGGACTTACTGTTAAAGATAAACAGTTAGCACTTACAGCTTGCTCTAGCGTTTCTTTCACTGATATGAAATCAGCCTTGAAAAGAATTTTTGGAGATAACGTTACTTCACCACGAGAGGGCGGCAGTGTACTACAAAACACAGATGGTGACACTGCCTATTACACGAGATATTCAGGAAAACGGGGACACAAGTCTAACACTACACAACAACCCCAAACCATAGCTCAAGGCACAAACCCTCTTGATAAATATGGAAGAAGAACGAAATGTGCAATTTGCCAAAGCACGTATCACTGGGCAAAGGACTGTCCAAATAAAAAGGAACATGTAAGACTGACAAAAGATGAAGGCCTAAAAGATGACGTTAAAGAATGTAACATCACTTTGTTTTCAAATGAATCTTTGTCTAACACAGAAATTTTCATGGTGGAGGCTTTAGGATCAGCTGTGATTGACACAGCCTGTACAAGAACTGTGTGTGGAGAAAAATGGCTTGAAGATTACACAAGTGGGCTGCCACAGAGTGAGTTACTAAAAATAGATGACAAACAAAGTGCAAGACCTTTCAGATTTGGTGATGGCAAGGTTGTTTATTCCACAAGGAAAGTTACCATTCCAGCAAGGATAGGACATACCAGATGCAAAATAGAGACAGAAGTTGTTCCTGCAGAAATACCAATGCTTTTAAGCAAGACTTCATTGAAAAGAGCAAGTGCAGTTCTGGACATTGCACGTGACAAAGCAACGATGTTTAAACAACCTGTTAAACTTGAACTAACATCTTCAGGACATTACTGTGTGAATTTGAGAGAAGACAGTCATCCAGATGAAAAGGAGACAAGTGAGAACAAGACACACAATGAAAATGAAATTCTTGCTGTGACAGAAAACATGACAACAAAAGAAAAGGAGACAGTCCTATTGAAACTACACAGACAATTTGGACATGCTTCAGCTGATAGACTGAAAAAATTACTGGCCTGCTCAGGTAATCACGATGATGAAAGCAACACAATTCTTAAGAACATTGTTAAAAACTGTGATATATGTACCAGATACAGCAAGCCAAAACATAAGCCTGTAGTGGGTTTGCCTATGGCATCAGCCTATAATGAGACTGTGGCTGTGGACTTGCATGAGCTTGAGCACGGAGTATGGTATTTGCATGCTATTGATCATTTCACACGCTTCAGTGCAGGGAGTATCGTCACCACAAAGAACCCAAAAGAGATAGTGAAGCATTTTATTCACTGCTGGATAAGTGTTCATGGTCCCCCATGCAGAGTGTTTAGTGATAATGGAGGTGAATTTAATAACGACGAAATGAAGGACATGGCTGAAAAGTTTAACATTGAAATCAAAACAACGGCAGCGTACAGTCCGTGGAGCAATGGCCTTGTTGAAAGGCACAATCTGACCCTAACTGAAATTTTGCTGAAACTGAAGAGGGACAACAACTGTGACTGGAAGACAGCTCTAGATTGGGCACTAATGGCAAAGAACTCCATGCACAATGTGCATGGTTACAGTCCCTACCAGTTAGTGTTTGGGCAGAACCCGAATCTTCCCTCAGTCCTCACCAATAAGCCTCCAGCTCTAGAAACAAGTACGAGTAGTTGGATAGCTAAACAAATCACCACACTACATGCAATGAGAACAGCATTCACAGAAGCCGAATGCTCAGAGAGAATTAGAAGAGCCCTTCGTAAGCAACTGCGGCCCATTGATGACAGATATGAAACGGGAGACAAAGTGTATTATAAGCGAGTAGATTGTAATAAGTGGAAAGGTCCAGGTGTGGTCATAGGCCAAGATAGTGTGGTTGTATTTGTCAGGCATGGTGGAACCTATGTTCGGGTGCATCAGTCTAGACTAAGAAAGGTGGATGACCCACAAACAAACCTGGAGGAGACAGAAAGGGAACAAATGAAAAAAAATGAAAATCCCACAATAACACCAGCAGCAGATCTTAGTGACACTGAAAGTGAAACTGAGGAAATGACACCAGAAAATGACGAACCCATTAATGCTGAAGATGTCAGTGAACCTTCTGCATCAGTGCTACCTGGAGGTGATAGTCTTTATCAATCCCACACGCCACAAACCTGCTCATCCACGAACTGTGAAGGTCTAAGCCTGAAAAAAGATCAAATAGTTAAATACACAGATAATCAAAGTGGACAAATCCATACTGGAAAAATCCTCGGCCGAGCAGGAAAGGCAACCGGCAAACACAAAAACTGGTACAATTTGCAGTTCAGTGAGCCTGAGGAAACCGCTGGCACAACTGCATCAGTCAATCTAGGACAAATGGACAATGTTCAGGTGATTCCATCCGAACATGCTAAGTTGAGCACTGGCTACAATGATGAAGATATATTGATAGTACATGATGATCTCTTCACGCATGAAAAAAATACAGAACTAAGCACCTGGAAGAGAAATAACGTCTTTGAAGAAGTGAAAAATGAAGGCCAGAAGTGCATCTCCACGAGGTGGGTGTGCACACTTAAAGAAACGACTGCTGAAGTTGTACGTAAGGCCAGACTAGTGGCGAGAGGCTTTGAAGAAATGAACTCTCAAGACCTTCCCAAAGACTCACCTACATGTGCCTCAGAGTCTCTTAAAATGATCATGGCAGTAATATGTCAAAATAAATGGCAGCTAAACTCCATGGACATTAAAGCAGCCTTTCTACAAGGTAAAGAGTTAACCAGAGATATTTACATTCGCCCACCACAAGAAGTGCAGAACAAAGGAACCATATGGAAGTTGAAAAAATGTGTTTATGGCCTAACAGATGCTTCTTTATTCTGGTATAATAGAGTAAAAGACACCATGCAACAATTGGGAGCTACCGTGTCAAAGGTAGATCCAGCAGTATTCTACTGGGTGGATGATTCCTGCAAGGTGATGGGGATTCTTGCGTCACATGTGGATGACTTTATTTGGGGTGGTACAGATGCATTCTCCATAAATATCATTCCTCAGTTGAAAGCTGCCTTTCAAGTCGGACGGGAAGAACATGACAGTTTCAGCTACATTGGAATAGAAGTACATTCTAAGGACGATGAAATACAAGTACAACAAGGAACGTACATAAAAAATCTGCAACCCATCCCAGTGGATTCCACCAGAGCAACACAACGTGAGGCGTCATTGACAGATGTTGAGATGGACATGCTTAAATCAAAGATTGGACAAATATTGTGGGTTGCCAGGCAAAGTCGTCCTGACATTATATATGACATATCCATGTTGGCATCTAACACAAAGCATGCTACCGTTCAGACCCTGCATTGTGCAAATAAACTTATCAGAAAACTGAAATCAGAAGAGGTCATCTTGAGGTTTCAGTACTTAGGGGAAAACAGTTCAGTTAAATTGGTGGTGTACAGTGATTCCTCAATGGGAAATCTTCCGGATGGTGGTACACAGGGTGGTCATTTCATCATGCTTATGGGGGAAAATGGAAAATTTTCTCCTATATCTTGGCAGTCAAAACGGATCAGAAGAGTTGTACGGAGTACCTTAGCGGGAGAGACTTTGGCACTTGCAGATGGAGTTGACAGTGCCGTTTTCCTCGCTACATTATACTCTGAGATTACCACTGGTGGCTCCTCATGCATCAACGTGCCTATTGTGTGTGTAATAGACAATCATTCTCTTCTTGATGCTCTCAAATCTACAAAATCTGTAACCGAAAAGAGACTGCGCCTAGAAATCAGTAGTATGAAGGAGCTTATACACTCTGGAACTATTCAGCAGATCTTGTGGTCAGCCACTAAAGAGCCGCTAGCTAACTGCTTGACCAAAAAGGGTGCATCTGCACTTGGCCTTCTGAAAGCCCTCAGCACAGGTGTTTGCTATCTTAAGCACTGAATGGATTTGCTTATGTTTTGTCAATGTAGACATTTAAACTGAGGTATTTAAGTTAACCTGTTATCCTGTTATAATAATAACCAATGCTTATGTTATATCTTGAACAGTTTTTTCTTTATAAAAAAAAAAGAGGGAGATTGTTAAGTTATGTTTCTTTTACTGCGCATGTGTGAAGAGCACCATTTTATGGGTTAGCGCGGTTTATTCAGTTGTTGTTCGGTCTGGCGTTCTATGAGAGGTAGAGCGGCTGTGTTAAGTGATGGAGCAATAAAGAATCTATTGTCTGATAACTGTTGTAGTTATTGAATCAACAAATCAATAATCGCTAATCGAGAATCGTTAATAATCGAAAATCGACTGTAATCGAATCGGGACTTCAATAATCGTAATTGAATCGAATCGGGAAATCAGACAGATTAACCACCCCTATTCTTTTCCCAGTTCACCGGCCACTTACTTTCATGTATTTCGTGAGAAGTTGAGGAATTGACGCGTTGTAAACTAACATGGCGCCGCCCATCGCACATGCAGCTCAACTAACGCGATCGTTATAAAGGTGTTTAAACAACAAAACACATCCACTTCCACATATTTGACAATCGGAATATCAGTGTTTCATGTTATAGCTAATACATTTGTGAATATTTTGAATAAAAAAGGAAAAATGACATAAAAGCAGATCATTATTCATTCAGCGCTGTGTTGTGGTTGCGCTGTTACGTGACAATGACGCATCACCATGGAAACGTTAAAGTGACAGGTTCTAAATAACGGTCGCCTAGAAAAACTCACGCTGGGGGATCAGTTAGAATATTGTAAACTTACGTGTGAAAGGGTTAATGGTCAAATGACAGGCAGGTAAATATATTTTTTTGTTTTGTTTTTTTATTTTTTTATTGCAAAAACAGTATTAATAAAATGTTTAAAATGTACTACAAAATGTAATTTTGCATAAAGAAAATTAAGCATATTTTAGAGCCATTTAAAGGTCCCGTTTTGCAATCTGACATTATTTTAATGAATATGAATCTCACAATGCAAAAATATAACAGGATGTATTTTATGTATTATACAAATATTTTGTGTTAATGGTGTTATGAAATAAGACCCAAGACATTTCTTTCTAAGATGAATCCTTTCATTAGTTCATTAATTTATGTAAAATTCAAAGTAATTCTTTGAATGTGATTTTAAGTAGTCTGGTTTTCAGCAAATCATCAGGCTTTAACTGTTACAGATCGGGAAGGGATGGCAGTGGGATGCTGTGGTGCTTATGAAGGAGTTGCTACTTGGGCGTTCAGTCAATGTCTACATTATGGTAAAGTAAATTTACATGTACTTATTTACATCTACACCACTTCATGTATCAGCAGAACTGTATTAATCACTTATAGGTCAAATCATCATGTGTTGACAAGCAGTCAGCTATCTCCCAGTAAACCTGTTGTTTTGCAGGAACAACCAGAGGATCCATGTGACTGTGTTACGGTAGAGATAATGGTGGATGGCATGGCACTTAGCAAGATAATGGTGCACCACCAATATGCCACTTTTGACCCTGCCATCAGCAGCCAAGAGGTCTGATCAGTGGAGATTAGCGGTATTGTTTTGCTTGTGTGAGGTATAGATATTGACAGTTTTTCTTTCCAGGATTATGTGGTTAAGCCTCATGCCCTTGATTTGGATGACTGGGACCTAAACACAGAGGTAGAAGTTTCATTTCTGTTGACGTTGTACAATTCCTCAATTTCTGGTGTCACTCAGTTTGCTTACTAAAATTTCAGAGCTGGTTTAGTAGCAGGGTGTTGTGTTTTTAGGGATTGGAGGAGCCCCAGCTTGTTTTAGGGGTCTATAAAGAACTCCAGATTCCTAAAGAAAGAAAACATTTCCCTGCCAAGGTCAAGCATATCCGCACCCCTAATGAGGTATGTGAGCTGATGGGTCTGTTTTCAAACCTTCCGTCACATGTTTATATCTGGCCTTATTCATCAGACATTCATTTTTTAAGAAAAAACACCTTATGAATTTATCGTCTCATAGAGTTGGTCTTAAATTTGAAGTGCAGCACCAGTATTAGAAGAACCAGTAACATTAGAGAAAATTCGCTGGCAAAAATTGTCCTGCACAGCTTACATAGAGGGTGCTTTCTGTTGGTCAACGTGGCAAGTCTGTGAACAACTTGAACCTGTTGTGAAATTAGCCTGGGAAAATCTTTCACCCTCACATGAAATTCCAGATGGAATTGATTCCTATTGAGCTGCAGTACAGCTGTAAATATGACTGCTCATGTACAGTCCCTTACTGTACATTGCTTTCATTGAATCTGATGTGTGCTTGCAGGTGTTCCTGTGTGTGTTGGAAAAGACTCAGAGAAAACTGGAGCAGGGAGATAGTTTGGAGGAAGCTCTCGAGCGTGTGAATAAGAGTGTTGAAAACCTGAGCCTGCTGACAGACTTCCCCATTGGTGCTTATGTTTGATCACATTGAAATGAATCATAACCAATTGACAAAGACTTCAGTGGTACTATGTGTGTTACACATGCCTTTTGTATAAGTTAATTTGAGAAACTAAAATCTGAGACCACCTTTTTCATTCCTCGCCTGTGGCCCATTGGAATAGGCTCCAGCAGAAAACAAGCGATTTGTTGAATGGATGTTTTTTATTGTGTGTTTGTGTGCAGAGTGTCCCTGTCTGGCCGAATACAGTGATGGTAAATATTATCGTGCAAAGCTACTGGGCTTTTCTGAAGTCACTCCCTCTGTCAAGCTCCTTGTGAGACATGTGGATTTTGGCTCGGATGACATTTTACCAGTAAACAAGTAAGACCGTAGATTATACAACGATTGGCATTGCAATACTTTGTGCAGGCTGTTTTTGTAATTGCATTTAAGGCCTCGTTCTTGTAGAAATGTAAAAAATATTTGGATTTGGCTAATTCACTTCGCATCAAATCAGTAGTTCTCAACCTTTTTGTCCAAAACCATATTCGAAGGACCCCCCCAAATACTTCTGCAGTAATGGAAAAATCTCATCTTCAAACTTTTTTATACAGAAACTTGGAGTGGATTTATATTGAAATAAAAATAATTACTACAGTTACATTTCGTAATCACAGAAGTTTAAACAACTGATGTTCTTCAGGATTTACTTTTTATAACCAATGAAATTGCATTACTTTTCTAGATGTTCATTATAACAGGGATTTTTTTAATGATTTCTTGCTTACAAATAGCAATTTCTACTCTATACAATTGCAATTACAAATGCCCATGTCTTTTTCCAGTTCTAGAAATTACACTTAAAATTCTTTTATAGGTTTTTTAATTTGAGTGAATTTAGCTATTTTTGTTTTGTCTTGTTCAATCATTGTCAGCTAGCCGCCGGTTGAGAACCACTGCATTAAAAGAACTAATTTATTACAATCCTATTCAAAATCAAATAACACATCAAAAAACATATACATGTGTGTTGTCACTGCAGATTGCGGCAGCTCCCTGCATCCCTCCATCATTATCCCTGTGCAGCTGTTTACGTCAAGTTAGCAGGCTTCAAACCAGCAAACGTGATCTTGGAGATGGAGCGGATACCTTATCGGCCTGAGTGGACTATGAAAGCAATGCTGGAGATGATCGACCTGTTGAACGGAGAGCTCACTGCGGTGGTCACTGTACGCCTCATTCATAGTTGCAGAAATGTGTGCCCTTTTACACCTGGCATAACATGCATTTTTGGTGACTGGATCATGATCTGATCGCTCTTAACCACGTTTAAATGTTGGAGTTCACATTCAATGAAGGTGTAAATGAAAAGCTAAAGTTGAATTTAACTTGAGACATTTTAATGCAACTGTGTATTCTCATACTAATCAGAGACAACCAAAGGTGTAAAAGGGGACCGAATTTTCGTATAACATTTAGGCTGTTTACACCTGGTATTAAGATGCGTTTTGGTCAATTGGAAAGCAGTTGCATGAATGTGTGTTAATCTATCCAAATGTGCAATACAGGCAACGGAACCACAGCTGACCGTGTTGCTGTATAATGCAGATGGAAGACTTGTCCACACACGTCTGGTGGAGAAAGGCCTTGCAGATTATGAATAAAGGTAAGTGTGAGATTAAATAAATCAAATGAGGAAAAAAAAAAAAAAAACATTTTTCTAAACGTGTTTGTCATGTTTTATTTTCAGTTTCTATAGGTTGTGGCAGTGACTGAGGATCGTCAGCGTTCATAGCTTTTGAAGGCAAAACTTTTTATGTTGGTGTAGTAGTTTCATTTTATGTTAAAGCATTCAGGGGTTTAAGCTACTTTGTGCAGTTGTTAATATATTTGGCCAGTTTTATGTTTGTGCAATTTTATGTTCAATATTTGTATTCAAATTTAAGGCTGCTTCAATGTAGCAGAAATATTTTGTTGATGTTTAAGATCTCTGTTCAGCAGAGCTGAATAAAAACTCTTATTGACTTTTGCCGGCTCACAAGTCTTGTTGTTACTTATTGGTTCACAAGTGTTTGTACTAAATCATAACTGACAATTTTTGCTAATTTTGTACATCATTTATGGTCAACAAATGACTAAATTGACCTATTGATGCACTTTTATCTTCAGACCACTGCCAGAAGCATCCTGAAGAAATTTTCACTTTACATTATCTTAAATCATTGTCCTTTAAGGTACACTGTAACTTTTTCTTCAAAATGAACAAGACTTGAAATGAATACATCAATCCTTCCAAAATGTGTTTTTGTCTTACACTTAAAGGTGCTCTAAGCGATGTCACGCGTTTTTTAGGCCAAAACATTTTTTGTCACATACAGCAAACATCTCCTCACTATCCGCTGGCTGCCTGTCCCCTGAACACTGTAAAGAAACGCGATCTCTGTAGACAGCCCAGGCTCCACAAACTGCGGCGACCCACTCCCCGAAACATGACAAACAGTTCCAGCCAATCACCGACAAGAAGGACTTGGGGGCGGGGTTTGGGGGGTTAGTGCGCGGATGAGGAGGAGGGAGGGTCTAGCTAGCCTCCGTTTTGTTTGACAATACTTTAAACATCAACAAGAAGTGATGTCACCCGACATCGCTTAGAGAACCTTTAAGCTTGTAGGAAATTGTTTACATACGACTCTTGCCTGTGCGTGTCTCGTCATCTGTAAATGGAGAAAAGTTGCTCCGGCTACGTTGACGCATGTATGGTGTGGGAGTAGCCTAGTTTAGTTGTCACAAATGAGCAGGAAAGGTTGACATGGAGCAGCTAAATCTCAAACCTCCGGGGAGTCACCCATTTAAAAAAAATAAAATAAAGTCGGCTGGCAAAAAGAAAATGACAGAGCTCTTAATAAAATTTTGAAAAAATGGCTTGGCTTTTCGGAGATGGCAGAAACTGAAGGATTTGAAATTTTTTAAAAGTGAAGTGCAGTTTTTATCAATCAACAGGGGAGTAAGGTATTTTATTAAACAGATAAATTGCAATATGTAGCTTTCTAACACCATAGTTACTGTAATGAGTTCATCTAGTCGGCTTGAGATCCTTTCCTTGATCTAAACTGGTTATATCTCTTAAGCCTATTAATGAATGTTTTATGAGCAGTAGGACAACCATATTCACGCAGAGCCAAAGCACAACCAAAACAATGTTCTTTCGCAAAATGCTTTTCTTTTTTTTTTATCATCGCTAGATGGCCAAAAGTTACATCGTGACCCAAAAATGGGTAGCCTTCAGTCAGGATTTGGCCAAGATGCTGATATCCAGCATGCAAGCGTGAATTACAGAGTGAGGTTATGAAGAAGAAAAATTATCAACACTGTAAATGTTTTTGCCAATAAAAGCCTTTAAAAACTTGTTAAATGATCAGTTGCACTGACATTTATCGTCATTTATTACAAATTACTGAATGGCATCAAGCCTATTTTATTTCTCTAAAAAGTAGAATTTAGAACTATACCTTTCGCACACAAAACTGAACTCAACATAAAAAGATTTATTTTTTACAGAAATAAATACTCGACACATTTACAAAATGCACACACATTCTTTCACTTAAATTCACTCAAGGCCATGTTTTCCTTCCTTAAAACAGAGTATTGTGGATCATTCATGTCTTAGTGTCCATAATGACATGACCCTGTGCATCTTTTAACCGCACACGTCCTGTTGGGTATTGTGTCTCCTGCCGTCCATCTGAGTAAACGGTTTTAACCGTTCCATCTGGATATTCCCGTCTTTTAAAATCTAAGGTGTGGATCTCCCGCTGGCCAGTGTTAAACTGGATCACCTTACTACCATCCCTGAAAGAAAGCAGAATAAAAATGCTCTGACTTCAATACGTTAGGTGTCTCTTAATTATAACACACTGAGGTGGAGGGCCATGAGTTGTACTCACGGATTCAGCTGTATTATTGTTCCATCTGTCAGTACACTTTCCTCTCTTCCATCAGGGTAAAGAGTCTTGACTGTCTGATCAGGGAAAGTGATTTCCTTACGACCATCTGGAAAATGTTTCTCTAAAATAGGCATGGGGGGAAGATTAAGACTTAAAATGTAGTCTGGACATAAAACTGGACCTCTAAATATTACTTTTGAAAGAAATTAAGGCCCACCTGTTTGATTGTTAGGAAACTGAAGCACTTCCATCCCATCAGGGTAGGTGATGTGTGTGGTCTGAGCTTCAGCGTAGTAATAAATCTGAAAGAGAATGGCATTACTAATTGAAACGCTTTGCTGATTTTAAATTCACTTAGTTTTAATTGTTAACTGTCAAACCACCATTACACCAAAAAACAGCACAAATACAGCATTTAAAATTGATGGAAGAACATGTTTTCACACATAGATTATTGATCATTACATGGTGTAAACTTCCTAATAAGAGATGGAAACAACACTCTTCAGAGTCCATGCCTCACCACTCTTTGATCAGGCATTGTATGTTTTACATCCCCGTTGAAAAACATAACTTTGACAGTCTGTCCGTCGGCAGAGAGCTCTTTCCTTGTGCCATTTGGAAAAACAACAAGTCGACCTCCATCAGGAAGAACCTTCTCAATCTGAAACATACATGAATATGAGTTAGACCCCAACTTCCATTTGAAATTGGGCATTTTGATAACTTTAGAAATGTGACCATCATTTCTACACTTCCCTTATGGAAGGGTGTGGTTCAGTTTTGTTTGAAATGGCATTCCCTCAATGTCAGTACTATCTGAGCTTTGAATTGGAGCTAAACAAGACATATTACCTTGTTGTCAGACTGCGTGATCTCTTCCTGTTCCTCCTCTGACTGTCCGATGACAGCTGTGTTAATCAGTGGAGCATCATGGTTCCTCTGAGTCATAACCAGTCCACCTGTACACTGAGTTCCCACTGGACTGTGCTCCCTTTTGAAGCTGATACCCTCTTTCATTTGTTCAGGGAAAAAAGCTGTGGCAAAATGTGATTGATTATTTGTGAGTCATGCTACATGGTAATCACACTAGGGTTGGGAATCAAAAATCGATTCCAATTCTAGAATCGGATACTTGTTATAAAATTTTTATTTAGATTCCTCTTATTGATTAATTTGTGTGCATTTTAATATGACTTTAAACCATTCAAGCGCAAGAATTCTCGCATGGTGTTTACTGTATTACACACACATCCAAAACACGTGCACAGAAAGCTGTTTAATAGTGCGTGATACTGAACCGAGTCCTCTTCTGCGTCTTTTTGAATGGACAAATACACACAACATGTCGAAATATTCATAAACAGTCGGTTATGTCTTAAGTGAATGTAAACAGTTGACAAAGAAAACGCATGTGTAACTATATTGGATCTGTGTAGCTCTTAAAGTGACAGCAGCCTAAAATGTCTGCTGCCGTCTCTATAATAACATTGATCAAACAACAAAAGACAAAGAGAAAATTTACTCGCTGTTCTTGACTGAATAACTTTTGTAACGGCATTTGTAATGTATATTTTATTTATAAAGTCCAGTGTTATTTTACATTTGATTAGTTTCTATACCTAAATACCTGAAAATCTTAAAACACTGTTTATTTTAATCGTATCTTTGTTCAGTTGTATTTATTTGTGCGATTGCTAATTTGTTTATTTGTCCTTTTTTCATTGTTTACTTGTCTTTAATAATGCTTGAAATTTATATTAGTTAGGCTAGTTGTTTTTGCTATAGTCAAAAGTTCCTTCTGTAAGTGTTCTTTAGCCTGTTGATTTTTGTTCATGGTATTCAGCTGCAATGAAATGTTTTGTAATAAGACTTGAATGATATCTACTCTTTTTTTTTTTAATCAAAATTAGTAATCGATAAGCAGAATCGGATTCATTAAAATTAAAAAGATACCCAACCCTAAAGCACACTAAAAAGCACTAATATGGTGGTGTTGATAAATAATAGCTACCCGAGTCTGTGAGAGGAATCTGTGTCTCTGGACTTCCCTTTCTGCTGCTGTTGCTTTTTGCACTCAGGGAGGGACTCTAGACACACACAAACAGACATACTAGTAAGAGTGAAAATTTACACAAATTAACATAAGTTATTTTAAAAAGCAATCCTCTGGGAATTATTGTTTAGTGTTATGCATGTAAGAGAAAAGCGTTGAATTTACCCGTCTATGAAGGGAAGGACCTTCAGACCTGCCAATCCACACTTACCCTAGAATCTGTACTTTTGGATCCAGTACTAGCTCTATTGCTAGACGCAGAGAACCTTCCTTTTTCCTTCTCTTTCTCAGCACTCTTCCACACACTGAGACGCAGTTTCTCCAGTGTCCGCACTTGGTCTCTGAGGGATGCGTTCTCTGCACTCAAAGCGTCTACCTGCTGCCGAAGACGGCTCTGTGTGTTGCTCCAACGAGCCTCTCGTTTGCGCAGATCCTCTTGCAGCACGTTTAATTGCTGCTTTAGAGCCTGATACAGACATAAACCATCAAATTTAAAACACATCAAACAATTCAATATAGTAACTAATAGTATAGTGTCCAAATGATACTTTTTCAAAAGACGATAATCAAACCGGACCTGGATCTCATCTCGTTCTTGTTTGTCAGGTCTTGCTCTCACAGTTGCTGCATGCTTTTCAAAAAGCTTCTTTTCACGCTGCAGTTTCTTATTTTCCTCCCTTTTGAACTCCTCCCACTTTGCGATTTCCTCCATCCTCTTCTTTTCAAATTCAGCCCTATCTTTCCTGTATTGGAAAGTTATTTAAGTTTTCAGTTATATTTGTTTTAGGCATGATAAATAACTGTATATTCATATTGCCAAGGCATTTGCAATTTAGCTGTGAACAATATTGAACTATATATCAAATTACACATTTAGTATTTTGAGTATTTAAGAAGAAAGGTAAAGGGCCCTACTT